CCTCTTTTATCCCTTCCTTGACCATGTGACTAAAAACCAAATGTGAGACATTCAAACTGACCTATCAGCAGATTACAACTTCACCCACTGGGCAAAATATGTGACAATTAGCAGACCCCCGATGTATACATTATCTTCAGTCTTCTGGTCCAGACTTGTTGCAGTTGCAGCTGGTCAGTCTTTGTTCTCCTTTCAGCCCTGTGTGAGAGATCTTCATCGAATGGTGTTGCACCCTTCATAGATATGCAAAACGCCCATTGAATACTTCACACCTCCACAAGAACAGGCACTGAACATGGTAGAATCCGCTTGTCCCTCTTTCTGAGGCAGGACACAGGATGTGAACTTATGCAGCGGGAATCCTGTGATTTCAAAAGAGCATATGGCACAACAAACAGCAAAAATATACATGACATTTGTCATTGGTCAGAGGTTTGATGTGGTTAGATTTAATTTGTCTCTGGCAAAAAAAAGTGGTTTCCTATCTTTCTGAAAATAAGGTGGAGGTCTACCCCTACCCAGTGACCAGCATTTTTCCTCTGTATGGCCTATTTTGTGACAGGAACGACAAAACCTGCTCTCTTTGCCACAGGGTTGTTTGCTATGTTCTCCTGAAGTTTGAGGATTTTCATAACTCTTTAATGCTTCCTTTACACCATGCGTTCTGGTCCATGACTCTATTACGGTGCTGCATCACCTTAAGAACTGAAATCGGCACACTTTTTTGAGCAGTGGCACATGCTTCCTCTGAACAAATCATTCCAGAATCATCACAGCAAGTCAATTCCTCTAAGAAGTGAACATGCTTTTTAGCCCCATCGCTGTTAAGCGTTTTGGGAGACATGGACTCTTGTGCCTTAAGCTTAGTCTTGAGATCTGCAATGATGTCCTTGTGATTTTTACACTTCTCAGTTAGGATTAACTGCTCAGCTAGTAAGTTATCTAGCTGCAATTGAAGATCTTGAATCTTAGCTTCTGACTTTTGTGCCTCTGTCTTTTTAGAATGCAGTTCTTCACATTTAGCATCTATACTTAAAGTTAGACACATTGTTAACTCACTTAGCCTTATACAACGCATGTAGTTTAAAGCCTCAATTATTTCACCTTGTTTTGATTTCTTTTCATGTT